CCCTAGAGGCAGATATGTAAAGGTAAAGATGCTGTGGCATGCCTCCCTGCACAGCCCTGCTGCCAGCACATCTGGCAGCACTGTCAGTTCGCCTGTCCCTGTGGTACCCCCCTCTCCTGGGCACCCATAAGCCTGTGCTCTCAGCTGCTATGCCAGGGGAAGTCCTTGACTTTCAGATTTGTAATGTCAAATTGTCCTTTCAGTGGTCACAAATTTCCACTGAATTTGTTTTTGAGGCTTCTGCCCTCTCTTCAAAGATATGCATGGAATAAGTGAAGGGCTGTCATTTTGAGTCAGCTATTTTTCAGTCAGACTGAGTGTTACAGCCCAAGTATTAAGACAAGGGAAACAGCTGATCAAATAGGCCCCATGATTTTGTTTATTCAGATGACAAAAAAAATACATTCTTTAGTTGTTTCCCATTAAAAAAAGTTAGTGTCTTGTTACCATTTTGTAATATAAGAGCAATGAAATCAACTGCATAATTTTCATCATTTTGATTCCCTTTATTTCTTTATTAGCTTTATATCCCAACAACTTCTACATAAGCTTTAAGAGTGCGGTTGTACATGTCAAGTCACATTAGTTATACAACAGATCCCACCTTCGGGGCCCACAAACTATGACTGACCATGCAAGATTTTGGTTGCGAACAGTAATTCTGGATGACAGTATTCCCTTGATCCCTGTGTATTTCAGGGGGAATTGCAAGAGCAGAGGTCATTATCGTCATGTGTTGTTTATTACATAACTGGATAAAACAAAAATGTGTTTTGCTTTGTTTCTAACCTGTGGGAGAACCATGTTCTCTGGAGCGTTACAGTGTCATATCTCAGCAATACCTTGGGCTGAAAGGGAGGGCATACTTAAAATAGGTTTCACTTGTAGCTATGGTAACATGAATTGAAAAGCAAGTTATTGTGAGCTTTTATCGCAGTTGTTAATTTGTCAAAGCAAACATGACAGAAGCAATTTGTAAAGCTCTAGGGCAAACTCAATTTGCACTTTGAGACTTTCCTTGTAAAACACGTACAAAACAAACACCAAGAAAAATACTATCATTATTCTGTTCAGAGAAGTCAAAGCTCTTGATTCAGGAACAGCCACTGGTCCTTCAGATAAAAAGAGTGATGAGAGCACTTTAGCTCCACAGGTATGAAGAAGTGAGTGTTCTTATAAATTCTGATACTATAACACATGAATTTCAGAGAACAGCAGCAACTGAATCATTAAAAGGTATGAAGGAACTGTGTCAGCAACTGAAAGAAATAGTCTAAGGTACTGGATACATGCAGCCTGGCCAAACTAGATAGTAATACTATGGGTATAGACCGAAGATATTTGGAGGCTGAGAGGAAATGGTTATGTATCAAACTCATGGAGCATAATTTTGCTTAATGATTTATTTTTAAGCAAAGGAAAGCTTAAATTTCTTAAAGAATAAAATCCACACTGTTCAACAAAATAGTAAAACTCAAATACTGAATTATTTGAGATTATATTGGCCAAAACACTAGAGATCATATTGCTGCTAGTAGGCTTCTTTTGACACAGCAAAGAATGTACAATTTTATAAACTCATATATTTCTCTGTTTCCAAGCAAAACAAGAAAAGTGTGTTCGTAGACTGCTTTGCCTTGCAGTAACTGTTACTGTAAGTCACCAGATGATCCTTGCTGTCCTTTCCAACACCTGTCACTCACCTTTCAATTCCAACTAAAACAATACAAAGACATTAAAGGTGTTAAATTAAAATAGTATCATACTGCTTATACTAGTAACATTAACAATGTATATTAGCAACAAGATCTCCACACTGTGGCACTATAAAGTTTATAAGAATATAAAAGGTGTATGTGCATATGTGTTTTCCAGCTTTAGAATTCTAATTCAACCTCACCTGAGATCACTGGCTTATATTAAATATGGCATATTCACTTGATACGTGACATTAATTACAACCCCAAGTAGAGAAGTTCAAGCAAAACTCTATACAGAGCAACACTTCTACTTCTTACTAAAGTAAGATATATAGGCAAAAGTTTTAATAATACTTTTGAAAAGTGAGCAGAGTTTTAAATCTCATTTCCAAAACTAATACAGGAACTGTAACATTATTATATACCTATATTATTGAAAATACAATATCATTATTATCAATAATATACAATTAACTATTTGTAAATTTGATTAAAACAGAAGGAAGCCAAGAATATCACCAAACCTCTGCTGAAAAGCACTTCAGTTTGGATAAAAGCTGCTTCCCAGAACTTGAAGGGAGACAGCACACCAATTTCTTTTGAGATCATTGCTAGCTGTTGTCTTAAAGAAGTGGATTTAGACTCTGGTTCATCCTACCAGCTGATAAGCCACCTAGACATGTTTTTGTTTTCTTAAACTCCTTTCTTCTTGGGGGAATTAGGAATGATAGCACTTTAATCCTGGCTGCTCATGAGTGGTCTTAACAGCTATTAATTATTTTGTCAAACTCAATTAACTTAAAAGTTTTAAATATCTATATGCTTTTGTTTAGCAGCAGTGCCACTCATCTGGACAACTTTTCTTTCTGGCACGATTATATATTTCAAATGCTTTTTCATTGTTTGCCTCACTGTTTCCATGAGACACAGAATCTTTTCAGTTTTATGGATAAAAGTTGCCACTTTGGATTGGATTGAAACCTTCTCGTTATTGAACTTAATGTTAAATCTGTGACTACCATTGGTATACATGAAATTTTATGTGTATTTTTGAAGCATAAAAGCAATGGTGATATCAATTCTGGTAGCTGAAAGATTTGTTTTGTAATCACTGTTTAGTTGCATTCTTAAAACAACATGAGGAGCAACTTAAAATTTTGCTTCATTTTATGTTGTTATTTCTTAGGAAACTCATGCTAAGCTAACAAATATGAATGTTAGAGTCTTTCACTGTGATGCCCAAATACATTTTAGTAGTTAAATTTAAGCATCAAGAAAAATTAGAGCTCCACTTGGTAGCTACTTGGGTGTTTTTTTTGTTTTATTTTTGTTTTAACTAGTGCAAATATTGCTAATCTGCTACCAGATAGAATTTGATCAATGAATTCCGTAGTTTTTCTATCCCATGCTATATTACAATAGCTGCATTATGGAAAGGCAAAAGAACTTGCTAAGCAAATGCATTGAGCTGAACCTCATTATGCATGAAATTATAGTGTCTTTCTTGCTACAAAATAGGCCAGTTGTGTTCTTCTTATACTTTAGTTCTGATAATTTATGTCTGAAGGATGTTGTCGTCATCTCAGGCCTGCTCCTGTTTTTGAGAGTCTGCCAGTGTTTTGTATAGGTGGTTTTTATTAAATTTATTAATTTTTCAATGAAAAATCAATTATTTTAAAAGCTTATGACAAGTGTTGGTGTTAACATATGCTATGTTAGTTTGTGTTTGTCTCTAAATATTATATAAATCCTAAAATGCATGTAGATTTGATTAATTTTGTGCTTACATCTTGTGTAACTTCACACTTAATTTTATTCCATAGGAATTTGCTGCACTTACAAAAGAATTAAATGCATGTAGGGAACAGCTGCTTGAAAAGGAGGAGGAGATTTCAGAACTGAAGGCCGAAAGAAACAACACAAGAGTAAGTGTACAGCAGACCTTTTCTGGATATCATGTATGTATAAAATAGGAGAAAAAGCTCCTTGCCCTCCCTGAAAATGTATTTAAATAAGTACATGAGACTTGGGAGGATCTAAGTAGTAGGATGTATCTACCATGCTGCAGACCTGCAGAAAATGACTCCATGCTGGACTTTGAACGTTGCAAGGTATGTACATTCAGAGCAAGAGACTCACTAATCTTTCCAAGACCCAAGTCCTACATAAGTAGCCTGCACAGATCTTCTCTTCTCAAGGCTAAGGGCAGGGGTACAGCATATTGAGGTACCTAGGAGCCTTGATTCTGGTCTGAATAAGGATGAGATGAAGGCTGCCACTTGTATCACAGTGACTATGCTGTTTAGTCTAGATGCAGCCACTGTCATCCTTGAAGTAAATATCATTTGTGATACAGCTGAGGACATTTCACCCCTAAGTTTGCTATATTCTGCTTCAATCAAAAGCCATTATTCTGTCTGCAACCAACAATCCATGATAGTGCCTCCTGGAACAGGTGCTGAACACCAAAGATGTTTTAACATATTTATGTTGCATTCTTCTGTGCTCTGGGCAACTCTTCCTGCTTTCATCCTTTCACTATACTAACAGTCCTTTGTGCCTCACTTAATATCTTTCCCTGGCTACCTGACTGGCATTCCAAAGGTTATCTAGCAAGATACTTGACAAAAGAATCGTGACAGTCTTTCTCCATCCTTTTTACTGCCAGATATAGCATAGAGTGTCACAAATTTCAGAAATCCAAAGATGGTCAAGTGATACAGTTGTCTACTAAGAGACAGTGGTTCTTCATCTACCTCCATGCTAGCTTAAAGGAGCAAGAAGAGATAATCTTGCTAAATGTAAAAGTTTTAGATGTGTTGAGATTGGGAAATGTGATGGGAAACAGATAAAACATATTTTTTCCTCCCATAACTCTTTCATAATCTAAACAATACAAAATTGCTCCCACAAAATTAGAATTAATGAAGAAGAACATTGGAGTTGCAATGCATTCTTCAGGTTGGCAAGCCATCTCAGCCATGTATTTCTGAAATAAAGCTGCTTAGATTTTCAGTAACTGTTATGTATATCAGTTATTTAAATGTTTAAAGGAAAACTATTAAAGTCAGCTTTATAAAGTTACATAGAACAAAGAATAACTTGTATTAATTTCTAGCACAAACTTCTGAAGACAAGATATGGTTAAGATAAATGCCCAGACAATTGTACTGATTGGGTAATCTCCATATACACATTCCTGAACAGAAAATACCTAAATTTGCCTTTCTTTACAGAAAACATAGTGCATATACTAAATTTAAATGTATTCTTCTCGGTCATCATACATTCTCATAAGAATGCGTACAAAACTACCTAGCAGAAAGTTTTTACCATTTCACTACAGAGCCCACTGAACACCAAGTTTGTACCCATACCTAGCATGAGTCTGATAGAATAAGTAGCTCAAAGAGGAATACCATGACAGCCCTGTAGTCAGACAGTTGCACACCAAACAACTGTGAGAGAAAAGCAAATTGAGTTAGTTACAAGTCAAATTAAGCTCTGTCATAGCACTTTCCTTGCGAACAAAAAAATTTAATTATTGTCCATTCTTGTTCTTTTTATATTACGTGAAAGAAAATCCAGTAAGAGATTTTCCAGGAGATTCCAATTAAAAGTTGGAAAGTATGATGATGTTGCCAGAAGTCCTTGCAGTTTAATCTAATATACTCAACTAATTTGTCTTAATAATGAGTACAAAGGTAGGCATTGGAGATTAAGAGATTTAGTATACAAAAATATATAGAAAATGCAGGAAATGCAAGAGTAAAGAGCTGAAGATAAAGATAAGTGTTAATGAGGAAGAAGAAAAAAATCAGACATGACTGATGCCTTACACTGTCCTCCAGAATTTTCATTAACATGTTGTCATCCATCATGTCATTCCATTCTGTCAGCTGCCATATACTAAGTTAGTTCCTGGAGTCTATTCTAATAGTCATGTTGCCTTATACAGGCTCCCTACACTGTGTTTATAAAAGACCAGCATTCCAGGTACACTGGTGCAGCTGTTGTCTTCAGAATACAATCATCTCCATGACATACTAGATAAGAGGTTTCCAACAGGAAGTCATTGTACATAATGAAGCGCTTTTACAAGCTGATATTTATGCTGTTAATGCAAAGCAGCATTAATAGTTTGTCAGAAAAAGCTACTACTTTTTTTTTTTTTCTATTATTAGAGATTCACATTCAAGTAATAATATTTAGAAGACCACAGAAATACTTTTGCAATGAGGAATCAAAATGTCTTTTCTAACATCTAAAGTGAGTCCAGCTAATTCTTCTTTCCATCTGCCCCACTACAAGTCATATCTAACCAGCTCTGGCCTTATTGTGCCCACAGGACACTCTCATGCATAGCCACACTTATCACCATGACTCAGTACAAACACTTTTTTCCCAGGTAGCACTTTCTACTAATAATAATTAAAGAAGCTCAGGTCTAGATTCTTGGGTTCCTATTTTGAACTTTTTTAATGCAACCTTTTGTTTCCCTGCAATAGAACTGGAAAGATACTGTTTGAAGCACCTACTGCTTCAAACTGGAGATCAGCAAGAAGAAATTGAAATGGCAAATCTGTCAGGTTCTGAGTATATCGAGATAACTCTTGCTTTCTATTTCCCTTTTACATTTCTCATACATTTTCCTTTGTTCTAGACCCACACCCATGTATTTCTTTATTTTCCCTCAAAAAAGCTGCAAGACCTAATTTGCCATTTTAGGCCAAGCTGCAGCAGCAGATCCTGACAGTAGAATGCATTAGAATGTGCTAGAATAACATTCTGTGAGACCCATAAACTCTTGGTCTCTGCCAAAAGACTGCACCTTATAGCTTACCCTAGACTTGAGTTCCTAGTCAGTCCTTCTAGTAGAATTCTTAAATAAAGCTCCCTGGAAGACTTTTTGCTTTAAAATATGTATTTTTATTGCCTACTATAATTAACTTCTCACATATTATAGTAAAAATATTTTCATGTCACAAACTTAGATGACAACTTAATCTGCCAGTACATTTGGCAACATGAAAAATGCAGGAACATATGTGTATGTATTGATTAGTGTGGTGTTGCTGACAGGAAGACAAACAGGCTCTCTCTGTAAAATCACTGCATGTGATTTTGAAAACATGTACAAAAATACCTTGGAAGAAATTACTACATAGAGTGAAGGAATGCTATCCAAAGGGACCTGGACAAGCTTGAGAAGTGGGCCCATGTCAACTTCATGAAGTTCAAGAAGGCCAAGAGCAAGATCCTGCATCTAGGTCAGGGCAATCTCAAGTACAGATACAGATTGGGTGGAGAATGGCTTGAGAGCAGTCCTGAGGAGAAGGATCTGAGAGTATTGGTTGATGAAAAATTGAACTTGTGCCAACAATGTGCGCTTGCAGCCCAGAAAGCCAACTGTGCCCTGTGTTGCACCTAGAGGTTATTTTTTGTCTTAAATGTACAGAAATTCAAACGTGGAACATAAGCTGCAGCTAGGCTATGACTTCATTTTTTCAAGGAAGGATTACCACCAGTACTTTACCAGTAAAGTTATTTGATTTCCCACAGGAGCAAATGGGCTTCCACTGCTGTTGCACAATGCAGAGGAAAATGACTGGCTTTATGGCTGAATTTAGAGATAATCTGCAACCCCTTATCTGCTTAGTTTACTTTTCTTCTTTACTTGCACCAGAGGTAGAGATTCACTAAGTAACGCATATTCTAAATACAGACTGAAAGGAAATTGCATTTTGCATGTGTTGGTGAGAAGATGAACATGAAAGAGCATTGTCTTCTTAGTGGGTTGCCCTGTTTTTATAAGGAATCCTTAAGTCATGTCAATCTCATTTTAGCAAATCTTTTTTCTTCTATATTGTATTTCCCCATATTGTATTACATACTTTTCTCCATCACTCTCTCCTGATTCTCTCCTTTCTCTGTTTAATACCCTGCTGTGAACTTTTTTTTTTTTGCAGTTTTATTGAAAACAAAGAGAATTAAGATAAAATACTTTATGCTAATTAAAATTCAGATCCTATAATAATGCAAACGTTAATGAGTCATACTAAATTTGGTTTACTGAATCATTCTTTAAAAAATTTCTTTTTTTCTTTTTCACCAGTAAATCAGTGTCCCTGTGGCAATGATGGTTTAGTACAATAGTAGGTACATGATAACATACAAAGACATTTAGTTACACATTTCTATTTCACGCTGCTTTGGAAATGATCTGAGAAACACAGTAAACTGTATTCTAATAGCTGTCTGTTTTTAGTTTGTTCTAATTAACATTTTAAAGTTGCTTCATTCCTTAACAAAATAAGCAGTCAAACATTTTTCAGTGTTTGAATAATCATTTTTAAACATTCTTCGTGCTCATGAAGTCAGAGCTCTAGAAACACCCATCCCATTTAGCTACGGTAAAATTATCAGCTTGGGATCTTGAGGATCCTAAAACTCACCCAGCATAAGAACGAAATTCATATGTCACATTATTTCATAATTCATTGTCAAGCTTATGCTTTCCAGCAGGAAAAGCATAGTGATGACTGGTATTATACATGGGTGATTCTGTCCTGCTTTCTGCTGTTGATCTTCATCTTCTCTGCAAGCCTCCTGTCCCTGTGAGTACTTGACGACTGTAGCAGATCAACACAGAGTGAGGGAGCAGAAAATGCTCAGCAGCATGTGTTCTTTGTTAATGCCAGTGTGTGACTGAAACATACAAAAGCACCTAAAGCTGTTTCTAACAAACTGCTTGTAATTTAATTAATTATCAGTATTTTTGCAGTAATATTTTGACATGAAATCTTTTCTTGTTCTTCACAAATATACGTATGTGTATATTTTGTGCATATGTAGTTGAAGCAAAGATGGCTAAAATATCATTTTAAATATAATTTCAGCAGAGGATGGAGGAGGGATTTGCCAGCAGGCTCGCTAACTCCTGGGTTGATTGGTTACTCTTCCCTTTCAGCATGGCTGGGAGTACTGTGGTACAGGGACACCTGGTTAGTCATACTCTGTGTTCAGCTAACATGGATTTGCTATAAGAAGCATTCACAGATTTTGTGGAGAAACAGTCTTTTGTTGAAAAGCAAAAATAAGAAATTGCTCTCAGACAGAAGCCTATGTCAGCATGTGTTGTTGAGCACTCTGAGAGCTGGCAGTAAGGAAAATACCACAGAGGTAGTTTCTGGAAAAATGAACCACTACTATTTGAGTAGCTGGAATATTGTTCTTACATTAAGAAAAAGAATGCAGTGTTCACAAGTAATGCAGTAATTTTGCATGAGTGTTTGACACTTACCTGTGTCAGTAGCTCATTTTTCTACATTATGATAAAATCAGTACAGTGTTTTATACTTGCAGTTGTATTTAACAACTAAGAAATATGTGTATACATTTATATTTGGCACTTCTAAAGTGATAATTCTAAGCTTAGGGCAAAACTAACTTGTGTGTATACTCCTATACACTTGTGTGTATATCCTATGTTGACATCATTTTTCTCCTCTGAGGCAGTTTTTCTCACTTTTACTTCCCAACCAAGACTCTTAAGAATTTCCCTTTCTGATCATCTGTCCAGGATAATCTGTTTAGGATAGTAGAGCATTATATAATAAATTTACTCAGCGTTAGGTTGATTTAAAAAATTAGTTTGCAAGATTATGTAATTCTAGACTTTTACTATAAGTGTCAGTTTAAGCCACAGATAATTGCAAACTTATGGAAGATCTGGCCATGGTAATTCTGTTCTGTTCATGATAGCAATTAGCTATTTAAGTTATGAACAGAAATATTCTGTTAAGAGTTGGGAAGCTGTCCTTATATAATAAGAGTTACAACCTTACTACATCCCCATGTCAAGTTCTCGATGCCACTATGATTGAAGAGGCCTCTTCAAATCTGCATGTTACTTTGGACTGCTTCCAGTTATTAAAAAATCAGCTTTGTCTGTTGTCAGCCCTACGGAGATCAGATGACTCATTTGCTTTTGATAAATATGAGCCACCACTTGAAATAAATAGTGGTAAAAATACCTTCCTTCTTCCATGAACTACATGGAGTCATTACAATTCTTCGTGTACTAACATTAATCATACATGTGTTCACTATTTTTGGCAAATAATGTAATTATTTTAAAACAATAAGCAGCTGCAAATCTAGATATGAGAACCATGTTTTAAGCAAAGAGTGCATCAAACCCAAATTGTTCCTAGCTTGATAGCTGTATATTACAATTACAATGTGTTTGTTCTCTGTTTATGCTCTTTCATGTCTTGTTAATAAGGTAAAGGTCATTATGTGGCTGAGAATAACTATGGATTACAGATGAACATGTCTCTTTACTAATTGTAGTTATGTTAAGAACAACATCAAAAGAGAAATAATAAACAATTTGCTGTGTAACTTTCAAATTTCCACTTAAGGCTAAGATATAATTGTGCATTGTGAAATACATGTATCAAGAATTATGATTCACGAATTTAGCAACTTTGTTACAGACTTAGAGCTTACTAATTCTCTTCTATGTTTAGATAGTAAGAGTAATGGTAGCCCTATAAAGGCCTTGCTAAACTGTGAATTTTCCATACAACATCAAGTCATTTCAGTTTTTCACTTAAACTACTTAGAGTAATAATGACAATTATCATGCTTTTACAGTAGGTTATCTACAAGCTAGTCTACAAATAATTTAAATTTACTTAGTAGCCTGAAATGTATTGTTTATGGACCATTTGTCTTCCCTCATGAAGAGACATAATGAACATTTTAGAGCATGTTAGTGACATGTAAATGTCATAAAAGGTGACATTTAGAGTAAATAGTCTTCAAATGTAATTAAACATTATTTCTACTTTTTTTCATATTTTATTTATCATCTTCCAGTACAAATTTAAAATGCTACAGCTAGGTTTATGAAATATAAGCTGCTTTCATATTTTTCCATGATGTTCTACAGAGGTTTTGGTCTGTTTAGTTGTTATTTGATAGCTTATGATCATTCATTACAACGACAAATACTGTTATAAATATGTCCTTAATGCAGTTAAGTAGTGACTCTATGACAAATGATTTTTTTGTTCTCACTTTCCACAGAGTTTAAAGTTAAATTATGATTCGATTTTCAATTTTTGTACTTATTCTATCTGATTTTGAATCATGAAATCTTGGCAGTAATTCCAGTAGTATCTCCCATAAAGAGGTGGCCAAGAGAATTGCCATTTGGTACCATGCATTTTGTAGTTGAGTCTCCAAGGCATTTAGGTGAATAGAAATTAATAACCTTTCATATACAATCCAATAGCTGTTACTGGAGCATTTGGAGTGCCTTGTCTCAAGACACGAAAGATCACTGAGGATGACAGTGGTGAAACGGCAAGCACAGTCTCCCTCAGGAGTTTCCAGTGAAGTTGAGGTCCTCAAAGCTCTGAAATCTCTGTTTGAGCACCACAAGGCTCTGGATGAAAAGGTACAGTATGGAAAATATATATATGTGAAATATACCCTCTGACTTACTGAGCCTTATGATGCTTATTGTGTATTTCCTTCTTTATATAAGTCTTTTACTTAAAATATTTGTATGAATTCTAATAAGTCCTTGGGAATGTATGACCAATAATTGCAGTATTGATCACTTTAGCTATCCTTTGTAGTCAGTAACACTGACTTTTCAAAACAAGCAAATCTTACCCTTATCAGAAAGATTTCCCCTGTTAGCGCTATATAAACATGGATGGAATTTATGTCTCTGGTATGTTTTTAGGTTATTGATGAGAAAATGTAGACTTCTCAAATTTTAAAAATACAAAGGGAGAGTGAAATAAGAGTAAAGATCTTTTTGACTATGGAAAAGGACTTCCTCTTAAAACTTTTTACTGGGAAAATATTCTAAGTTTCAGATATATTTTTTTTTCATTGACTAAGCACAGCGTTTGCTGTAATATTAAAATAGTATAAAATGAGTAGTAGATACTTCATTGTCAGTGAATACACCATATTCATAGGGAAGATGGTCTGTACAGAAATGTCTCTTGAGTTAATCAGCCTTAAACTTCTTAGTGCTTCAGGTCTCAAAGGCTCCTTACAGGCACTAAGATGCTGATATCTTTCCTTGGTTTACTTCATGGAATGGAAAGATGTACAAATAATGTTAGAGCACTATGGAATATTGTGGTATATTAAACACACACATAAATGGGATAGTTTATAATACAGCACATGAAAAGACATTGTTAACATGGAACAGAAAATACAATCTTAGGTTAACTTCATATTTAAAGTAGATATTGAGCTTAAGAGTATATTAGGAAGTTCTTTATATATAATACAGGAAGGACAAAAACTAGAAAAAATATATAATTTTATTTACAACATTCTATAGATTTCATTTCCTTCTAATACCTGTCTGAACATGTTTATTTTTCTGCAGCTTTTTTTCTATTCTGGTTTACACTTTTGGTTCAACTTTTAAAAAGTACATTTGTAAACAATGAACTTATGCAACTTCTCCAAACTCATTTTTAGTTGATTTGTTAAGACAGAATGTCCAACTGATATTCACAGAGAAAAGCAACCACCAGGTTTTACTATTCTACATGATTTGAAAAACATTGGTTCTCTTAAGATAATTCATGTCAGAAAAGTATACCTATCTTTTTTAATACAAAAACAACCAATTCATGTTGACATTATCACTATCTTTTTATTCATTAGCAGGTAGGTAAGAGAGCTTTTATTCACTATGAACAAAATTGATTCAATTCTAGCATGTGCAAGTGTTTTTAAAAGCTCTTTGTGGGCTGCAGATATGGAGAGAAAGGAGAAAGACTTTGACAGCAAGAAAAAATGTGTAAAGTGGTTGCTAAGAGACAGAGGAAGATGGGTGATATTTTGCACCAACAGCAGTGCTAACATGACACTGGCTATGTTAAATTTCAAGATAATAATAATAGGGCTGCACTTAAAAGCCAGAAGAATACCCAGTCATCTGGGCCCATGTTGGATATATCCAGTAACAAGGAGAGCAAACCTTTTCTAGTGCATCTGTGGCTCCATAATGGGAATCACTTCTTTAAAAATAGATATTATACCATGGTTTGATAGATTAAATGACATCTCATTAGTCTTACTTTGTGAAGCCTTGTTTAGTAAAACTCCATCTAGAGCCCAAGAAAATAGGAGTACACTGAAGGACCATATCAAGTGTAGGTAGTACATTATTTTTGAAGTAATAAATACAATTGGAGTAAAATAATACTTGCTTCTATGAGCTACTTTTACTCACTTACTGTCTTTAAATTCCAGAATGGAGAAAACAAATTGAATCATCAGAAAAAAAACAAGACAAATTTATCAGATAAAAATATTTTGCAGTTGTTACTGCTCCTTTTTCACTAACAAGGCAGTGAGTTAGAACAACAGCTTTTCTTGTATTTGTTAGAAATTAAGATGATTTTGTTTGCTTTGTTTGCTTTAACATAAATTTGAAGAGGGAATCAAAGCAAAATTAATTGCAGTGTACTTTTATATGAATTTCAGAGAATTTGGCTTTTTTTAGATTCAAAGTTTTTTCAATATGAACTTATGAAGTTCAGGAAAAAAATAATACAATTACTAAATGATAATAGTTAAAGTAATATTCAAAATATATGAATACCAAATGCATTAGTATGGTCTTTTGTAAGCTGTATGTTTTTCCTGGAATATGGATGAGAAAACCTGAAGTCTTTAGTCAGCTTTTGTATTATTATTCTTCAAGTATATTTTGAAATCACTTAGAACAGAGAAAAAATAATTAATAAATAAAGTTACAATTTCTGGGCTATAGAGTAGGTTTCTCCTTTAAATCATAACACTAATGTAGCACTGTTTTCTCTTTTACACTGGTTTAATGAATACCTTCCCCCAGTTTTAACAACTTCAACACCACTTCACGTGGTTGACCATGAAGAATTAGTTGCAACATTTCCTATGTCACCATGGCATATGTGAGTCCCAATTAGTTGTTCTCTGCTCAGATGAAAGAAAAAAGACTTCTGTGCCAAGGCAGAGTTGCTTTCAGTTCCTTTAGAAAATGTTATAGTTGCAGAATAAATAACGGCCATGAGACTGCAATTTTACTTAAATCATTATAAAAAAGTGCATTAACTGTGTAGCTGCAAAGCAGGAAAAGAAAGAGAGGGCAAGGCAAGGCAGGTCAAAGCAATTTGCAGCTTTGTCTTTGTTTCACGCTGATATTGTTCTGTGTTTTAACTGACAAAAGGTGAAGAAAGAAAAAACATGGATTTATATGAACATAATAGCTTGATATTCAGAGTAATGAAATTAATAATTACCTATATTTTCTGAATTGTCATGTAAAAAAATGTTTCCTACACTGTCTTTGAAACAGCTGCCTATTATTTCCAAGGGCCGTTGTTTTTCAAACTGTAAAATGTCTTTATAAAAGCCACTAGGATTCAGTTCTACAGTGATACAGGTTAAGGATAATTTTTTTGTGATTCCAGCTCCCTTTGGAGCTCTCACCTCCTCAGTAAAATGGCCTAGTTGGTTTGCAAATTCTAAAACTCCTCTAAGCAAACACAAGTGTTAAACATTTTAAAACATATTTTAAACACATGCATTCTCATTTATAAAACATTTAGGCTTAAATACAACAAGATTTTAGGAAACTTTTGGAAGATGTAAAGTAAAAGGACAAACTCATTGCATGTAATTTCAGCTAGTAACAGTCACCATCTTGTGATATTTTCCTCCATCATCTTGTCCTTCAGTAATACTTACAGTCAAGAAGACTGAAGTGAGAAAGATGATTCTCATTTCTCTATTAAGAAAAATATTTTATGACAGCTTGCACTGTATAAAAGGTTGAAATAAGGCTTCTTGAGAGAGGACTATAATCCTTAGTTATCAGTGAAGTGCTAGTGAGAGACAAAAATTATGGTGGGAATTGAAGCAGGAATTTATATAGAAAGTGCATTTTACAGAGGAATCAGGAACCTCTGGGAAGGTTGAGAGCATACGAAGAGGAGAGAGAGAGAGGAAGAGGAACCACAAAGATGATCAGAGGGCTGGAGCACCTTTCCCATGAGGATGGTCTGAAAGAGCTGGGCTTGTTCAGTGTGGGGAAGACTCCATCACTGCAGTCTTTCAGTACATAAAGGGAGCCTAACAGCAGAGATGTGGACAGACTCTTTGGCAGGGAGTGTAGTGATAGGACAAGTAGTAATCACTTGAAACTAGAAAAGGGTAGATTTATATCATATATATAGGGAAGAAATTCTTCACTATGAGAGTGGTGAAGCACTGGAACCCATTGCCCAGAGAAGATATGGATACTCCATCAGGATGGCACCTGATGGGTACCTTTGTGTACCTCTGTAAGTCATGATTTCTGTTCTTTTAAGACTTGCAACATTGTTTAGTGCATTGTAGAACTATAGTATTATAGCATTCCAATAACTTATGTGAATAATTTAAGCTGAAGTATGTAAAGAGGACCAAAATCCTCAGAAGTACTACTAGATCTGCATTGGTCAGAAAGGCTAAGAAGTTTCTTCTTTTTAGTGTTCTTTTCCTGAACATGACTTTGGTCGCCATTCTTGAGACTTACAGACTCTTCTAGCAAAATCTGACTTCCACTGCGATTAGTAATAATAGAAAATATAGTAGGAAAGGTAATAAGAGTTTTTAGACTAGGAGGTATCACAAGAAAAATTATGAAAGTTTTAGTGAAACATTGCTTTATGGGTCTCCCATATTAGTTAAGGAGCTGAAAACAATTATACATTACAATTATATATATAACAATTATACATACATGAAAACGTGCAACGTTTCACTGTACATGAAAGATTGATTTTTTTGTTTGTTTTGTTTTGCAATGGAATCTGCTGATCTAGTAGAGTGCATTCACTTTCTCTTCAAACACTCCTTACATCCTTAAACATTCTTAGGTCATCAGCTGGATCTAGGATGGTTTGGTGGGAATGGTGATAGAAATATCTGCTGAATTTAGGCCTATTTTACTGGTTTATTGTCAAGTAACTTAATGTGACGTGTGTATTGAAGTTGTGTGGACTAGCAGATGAGTTGCTATAGGATCCCTTTATGGTCAGAAGAGATAAAGTAACCAACACACAGCACTGAAGTTCAGTTTAGGTCAGATTTACCTTTTAATCATACTGGGAACCTTGTGCCTACATTGCTAGCTTAGGTTATCTATACTTACATGAGATAATGCTGAGCCAAGATGCACAAACAACAGAAAAAAAAAAATGTTTTCAGAGGTGTTACATAGTTGTTGCTGCTGCTTTTTATAGTTTCATTTGTAAAAGATGCTTGTAAACAACATTTTATGCGTAATGTAATTTAAGAAAATTAGCACTTGCTTTGTTTTCCGTAGTATTATATGCAAACTGTAGAACAGCAGTACGGCAATTTAAAGTTTGAAACCCATTTTTGTGGGTTACATTTTCCTATGGCTAGGTTTAAACATTTACTGCAGAATATGTCTAATGAAAGGATGTAACACACTTACCAATAGACTGGCAGGGCATACTGTAGTGCATATGAAGGATTATATAAATTTTAAAGACTGATAGAAGAAATGTTACAGCACATATTTTTTATTTTTCTTCCAGGTAAGGGAACGACTGAGGGTTTCTTTAGAAAGAGTCTCTGCACTGGAAGAAGAACTCGCTGCTGCTAATCAGGAGGTAATGTAAAACATTTTATCTCCTTCTGAGGTTCAATTTCATTAATATTTTGTCCTGTGTGTTCCCTGTCACTTTTCTTAAAGCATTCCGAAAGAAGGATAAATTACATTCTGAGTAAGCTGATCAACAAGGCTGGTTTAAGGCACTGGCCAGATTGATTAATACAAGCTTTTTTTTTTCTAATTTATTCAGTTGTGAGCAAACTGGTTACAGGTTCCTAAAATTTTAATGGATATGAAAAAAAGGAGTTTATCTACTAACATGTCATAATATAAAAAATTTAATAACTTGAATCCCCATTTTACTATTAAATTAAGATGCGTATATAGATGCGTATTATATGTATGTTAAATGAAGGAGGAAAGTATATGGCTGATATCAAAATTTATGTTTGCCATCCCTTTTAATTGCAGTATATAATGGTGAACGGTGGAGCTGTATAACTTTTGTGAATTTAGACAATAAATTTTTCCCCTATAAGCTAGCTTGCAGACTGTTCTCATATTCTGATTTGTTTGAAAGTGTGAACACCACAAACTGACTGTGTTATACGTGCAATGCATGCACAAACAGAACAGAATTTTGCACCCATGGAGATAATTCTGAAGCCTGAGTGTATAATGGATTCAGGTGGTCACACTGCCACCCCAATCACATTCTGAATTTTCACCTGAGATGTGCTTCTCATACTGTTTAATGTAAGTTAGACAAGCAATAGAAACAGATGAAAGCTATTTTGGTTTATGTCCATTTCCTGGTGTTCTTTTATTGAACTTTAAGGCACAAACTAAAAACAACCACAGAAAAAGTTAAACTACAACCAAACGCCTGTGGGAAAATGGAATGCCTATAATTCTGGACAGTGTGTGAAACATAAACTACTGTAGTTGTTTACTGATAAACTACTGTAGTAGTTTTTTTTTGTTGTTTGTTTGTTTGTTTTTCTGATGACAAGCTAGAACAAGTAACTTTCTTGAAGTGACTTCTTAAAAAGGGTCTGCATTGTATTAGTTCTTCCTTTTCATAAGCTATGAACAAGATATTATAAATCCTCCCTTTTATTTGGGCAGACAAAGTATAGTTACTTTATCTATAAAATACAATCCCTCTTTTACTGTTCCATTTCATGGGATAGTTGGGTTCAAATGATTTTGTTATGCTATATTGAGTATAAGTAATCTGTTACTCGTACTAGCACTTACTAAACAGAAAGCAGTCCTTTTGAACAGTGAAACTGAATGAGATGCATTCCATTACTCATATCGCTCTCATTCATGATCCAAGTTGACTGAGCATGGGACCAGGTCTTTAGAGCATTGCCTTATTATCCAGAGATCGAAAGAAAATTATTTTAACTTGTATTGACAGTGTGGAGTAAAACCATACACAATTAAATTAGTTTGAAATAGGATTTTCATAGCCATTCTTGCTCCTAATGCTTAGAAATGCTATGAATTTTTTGTCTCTAGATGATACTAAGAAATTTAGAAAGGTATTTAATTAGCAAAGCTTGACATGACCATTAACAAAATCAGAATACTGGTATCCCAGTTTCCCGTGAGGGACTGTTCAAGCTTCAAACTGGAAATTCAGTTGAATAATAATAAAAAAGAGATAGATAGAAAGAAATAAGTGGATAATTTTCACACATATAATGTTCACACTATTAGCAATTTAAATGAGTCAAAATTAGTTAGACAATCACAATGTACGCAATTGTTCTTGTACTGCACTGCTCAGTGAATGCACAGGCAATACATGGCTTTAAAAATTTATCATACTATGCATGAAAATACATGAGTGAAGTTTCCAAGGAATTAAACTTATGCTTTTCAGTAATTTCCATATTCCTGTTATTCAGTGTTTGCTTGCCCATGAGAATTTGTATTTACTTTTAATATCCGTTTTCTCATACTGGTTGTAAGAATGTACTACATATTCAGGACTGTATTTAAACACAAAATGACACCAGAACACAGTCCCCCAATTAAATGAGCATATGGTTAAGTATATAATGAGAATTCAGTGATTAAAAAAATGTAGAAATCTGCCTTCCTGTGAAGTTCCTATATTATGGTTGTTCTGACACAGCAACAGTGAGAAACAGCAGACATTCATGAGTTCTTGCACTGGAAATAAACTCATTTGAAAGGGGGAGGGGAGACTGTAGCTTCCTTCACTAGATGTAAATAATCTCTCAGTTAACAGTTTTTTGTAGCATATTACGTGCATAACAGTGCATAAACATCCAGAACACTGACAAAGCTGATTTCAGCTGTAGTTGCCAACACATAGCACTTCTTATTTGTATGGGAATTGTAACACCCAGTGATTTTAAATTGCAGGGGCAGTTGAGATGGACAGCTCAAGACACCAGTCTTGTGTATCTATCATGTGTAGATAACATTTATGTGTATCACATCATGGTCACAGAGAAGGACCTTGACCTGCAGTTCCACTTACTGACTTATGACTTCAGTCATTGCTGTTGGCTGTTCTAGCTTTTAAAAAAAAACAGCAAATGGTTCATTGTTGGTTTGATTCTGTGAAGGCAATAGTTTTTACTTAAAGAGAAAGAAAAATTTAACTGTATATTTTATATTGCTGCAACTGATTTTTAACCTAGAAGGGTCTTTATAAGAGCAGTCTGGAGAGTCTTCATGCAGACTGTGTATGATAACAGCCTATAGTAATTAAATTCCATAATACTTATAATATTTACTTTTTATCAGCAACTATCACATGATAAATCACTGAAAAACAGATTTACATGTGCTTATCCTTCACATACTTTTGAAATGATGCAATACTTTATCTAGTCCCACAGAACCCATGATCTCGCCAAATAGTTGTAGCTGAATACTGTACAAGCTGCAGGAAGTACAGACCATGCCAAAGTCAATGGTACAGTAATGTAGTATCTGTTTATGAAAAATATGAAGGTAGGTGCAATGCTTTACAGTGAGCATATGAACATCGCAATTTCCAAGGTTCTATGAAGCTCTTTCCTCTTTACACACTAATTTGAATTATTTAAAAGTCTTGAGCTGCCTTAGAATTTCCTCTGCTTCTACCAATTTTTACTCAACATTTTGTGCATGAATTTAACTCCTGGAGCTATCGGAGGGATTGCGGAAGATTTGGCTCATAGTCATAGAACTACATGATTCTCTTATTTGTGCAGTAGAGTAGAAACCATATAAAAGAAACAGTTTGATGAGAAAAATTGTGTTTGCACTTCTTGAATGTCTAATATACTCAAAATTTTATCAATTCAACATTCAGAAATTGATGGAATTTAAATCTATGTATATATGTATTCAGTATGTTCAGTGACTTTTTTCTGAAAGACAAAAGCAAGGCCAGGCTAGATAGCTTGTACCTACTTCTGGTGACTTAAAGCATGTATTCCAGTGACAAATCTGAAATAGCCTTCACCTGTATTGTCACATTTTACCATATTTTCTCAGAGCAGTGTATGTTATTGCTACATAAAGTCTCACCTACATTCTAATGGTCATGATTTATTTATTTATTTATTCATTTATTTATTTAAGAAATAACTTTATGCAGCTCTAACTTTGGTGAAGGTTTCACCACAGTTAAATTAATTTAACTTAAATTAACAGAATTTAATTAATTAACAGAAATTAAATTTCTAGGTGATTGTGCCAAATGATATTTTCTCTGCAAAGTTGCACATCATTAAAATATCTTAGTTTGAAATGTAATCTTTATGTCCTATATGTAATTGCTTTTCTTTTTGCCTTTAACTATCTAGTTAAATGTTAACTCTGGAAAATGTTACTGTGGCACTTGTTTTAAATGTGGTAATGAAGCAAAGCAACCTTGGCTTATTTTGTGACTCTTTCTTATACTCCATGCCCCACAGTGTTAATTTTGATCTCTGCACGTTTGAATTAGGATATGTGGCACAGCAGCTGAAGAGACTGAAAAATACTTCACTGTCTTATTTTTTAGAAGATCAAAAAATAAGCACAAGAAATAATCTGTAAAGTTACAATAGGTATTTCATTTTATGCTCTCAGCTAATTCTAATCTAAGGTTTTATAGGAAAAACAAAACAAAGCACCACAATTGTGGACGTGTAGGGCAGCAAGGCATTTCTGCCAGAAGCATTTCTCCCTAAAGTCTGAGCAGAATAGATCTAAAATACAATGCATTTTTCATATAGTGACTTGAGTAAAGTAATATCTATTGGCATCTTTGAAACAAAACATCAGTATTCCATTTGTGGTTTCTCAATATTACTTATATCAACAGTAAATTTTACCACACTGAATGCAAAATGAACTTGTTTTTTCTTTTCTACAGTGATAGCAGATAATGACTTTGTGTATTTTAGTATTGTGATAAAAAAATCTTGTTAAAAAATTGCCTCTAGGTTTAATCTCCCATTCATAACTTTCCTTAGTCACTTAGATTATTTATGCATAGGATACCGAGTACTGTTGGTAACCCAGTAATGCACATTAAATAGGTTCAATAACATGGGTCTTTGCTGAAATAATTTTCGAGATCTGTGTCATGTAGCTGCCCAAATATCAAATGATTTTGATCCTTGAAAGATTGTGAAGTGCTGTGTTCTCTTGCCCTTTTGTTTAATATCTGGCCACCCGTAATAAATGCTAAAATACCAATGGTGTGTTCAAGTTATGCATGTATTTCAATTTATTCCTTAAAAGAAACCACTTTCTAGTAAAGACTGATTAGCAGAAAAGAGTATATGGTGTTTGTTTGCTGAGAGCTTCCTTAAGAAAAGCTTAGCTGAAGGGAAAAGCCTTCCATTCCTTCATGAATCTAGTGTGCAAATTGTCTGTTTTCAACATATGTCATAAAGACAACTGTTACATTCTATATTTATTTTCCAAACTGTCAAAGATCCCTAATATGAATGGATTAAACTGCTGCAAGGTTTTACTGCTATTAATAGAGGAGTCACATTCTTCAACAGAATGATAGATTTAAGCTCCTAAGCA